ATATATATTATATATATATATATATAAATTTCTAGAGAAGCTTAGTCAAACTGTGTTTGATTGAGTTATATTAGAACCTGCCGCTGTATAACAGTAAAAGTAAAAAAGGGTTTATAAAGGGTTTATAAAAGTAAAAAAGTTTTATACTTTCTAACCCCAAAGTAACAAAATACGAAGTTATGAACCCATAAAAGGTTCAAGACACGTTTCACTCAGAAGATTATTTAGGTCCGACGTTTTATGAAAGGTTAGCGTATAAAAATAATGTGGGAATATATCACAGATATATATTTACAATGTATAATATTTTGATATTTTTGTTATTACATATTTTTTCACTTTCAAGTACTAAATATTCAGATATAAACAGTTATAAGTTTAACTTAAGCAAGTGGATGTTCCAAAAAATATATTAAGGAAAATTGATGAGATCTAAGTTGAAGCTTACATCACTATAGATGCAAGTAGAAATAATTGAATTTAAATATTTAGGAAATTAATGTGAAAAAGTAGTCTAAATAAATAGATATTTGAATAATATCCTAATGTCTTAATATCCAAGCTAATGTTTTAAAGCCTGGCCTGACTTTTTCTAGGTTGAATAAATCAGTTGATTAGGTTGTAGTGGTGTAACGTTTGAAAACAATATGAGGCACTTCAAACTTAGCGTTTAAAAGTTATGACAAATATAAATTTCAGTCAAAATTCACAACTCACTCTGTATATTATGACACAATGGTAGCAGAGACTAATGGTCGTTTGTTATTCCATAAGGGTCTTCATTCGAAGTAGGAGTATATACAGTTCCTCATGACTCACCCTGTATTTGAAACAAACTTAATGGTTCAGTTAACTTGAAGCTATACACCAACAAGGGCTAACAAACAAGATATACAATAATAAGATTGTTTTACGATATTATTCAGGTCAAATATTAAAAGGTTTTGATTTATATAGTCTTAGAAGATACTCTCATATGTTATTGACTCTCAAATGAATTTCACCCAGACCAAGGTGTCAACAATTATTTAATAAATATGCGGAGCATTATGAGAAGAGCGTTTGAAGGATGAAAAAAGGGCATCTCAATAAATGGCCGAAAAATAAACAACCTACGTTTTCAGGATGACACAGCCCATTTTGCAAATAGTTAAGAAGAGTTAATTGATCTCATACGACTGGTTGAAAATGAAAGTCAAATATGGTCTGCAGTTAAACATATCAAAGACAAAGCAACACATAACAATCATTCACACATTTGAGGTTGTGAGTTCATACTTATATCTTGGATCATTGAAATCAAACACAGGATCACTACAGGAAAAAATGAAACGTAGATGTGATCTAGCAAAAGTCGCCGTAGGTAAGTTGGTCAAAATATGGAAGGACCCAAATTTCACAAAGTCTAAAAATAGAATTGATTAGGAGCTTAATATTCCAAATACTGACATACAGATGTAAATCTTGGACTCTACGACAAGCGGAAAGAAGAAAGATAGACGCCACTGAAATGTTCTGCTGGAGAAGAATGTTACGAATTCCGTGGATCGACCACAGGACAAATATTTCAATTTTAAATGAGCTTAAGGTCAATAACGATATTCTAGAAAAGTCCATCTTTAAAAATTAAAATACTTTGGTCATGTTATGAGAACAGGCACAGAAAACATGGAAATACTTATTATCCAAGGAAAGGTAGAAGGCCGAAGATCACGAGTAATATTTTCAGTAGGATAGATCGACCAAATTACCAGAATATGCAAAAGACATATATATTATATATTGTGGCTAAACACCCCGTACGGGGTTACGCCGCTTAAGCTCTCTAGATTTATTTTACGAGGTAGATCAGTCCTCATTTTCTTTATTTAATTTTTCTTGTTATTTTTCTCCACTGTTTCCTATCTCTGGTGTTTTCTCTCCATTGTCGTACGCCCGCCCTGTTGAAATCGTTTGTTACTTCTTGTAGCCATGTAGATCTTGGTCTTCCACGTCTTCGTTTACCAGCTGGTGTCCATTCCAATATTGAGAATATTGTCGTAGATGGTCCTGATCTCCATATATGTCCTAGCCATTTTGCCCTGTGCTGTTTTATTTTACAAACTATATCCTCTTTAATTTCGTTTAGTAGTTCATGATTCGTTCTTTGTCTATATTGGTTTTCATTAATTTTTATTGGTCCTAATATTGCTCTTACTATTTTCCTTTCTAGTATTCTAAGGTCTTCCTCTTGTTTTTTTTGTCATGCTAAGGGTTTCGGCAGCATACATCATAGTCGGTCGAATTATTGTTTTATATATTTTCATTTTCGATTTTTTGCTCAGTAATTTATTTTTTAGAAGCTTTTTATTTGCATAGTATGTCTTATTTGCTGTAATTATCCTTTCTTTAATTTCTGTTTCCTCTTCTCCATTGTTTGCTAATAATATTCCCAAATACTTAAACTTTTCTACTTCTTCAAATATATATTCTCCCAGTCTAACCTTTTTGTTTTCATATTTTTTGTCAAATCTCATTATTTTTGTTTTTTCTTGATTTATTACTAATCCCATTACTTTCCCTTCTGCTATCAATTCTTTTAACATACTTTCCATTTTTTTCTGTTCTTTGTTATTATCACAATATCGTCGGCATATGCTATTATTTGTCCTTCTCTCGTTCTAAGTGTACCTTTGTTGATTTTTCTTACTATATATTCCAGGGCAAGATTAAACAGAGTTGCAGATAATGAATCTCCTTGACGTACACCTTTATTTATAACAAATTCTTCTGTGTCTCCTTCTTGTGTTTTTACAGTTACTACGGTTTTGCTCATTGTCATTTTTATTAATCGTATTAGTTTGTTTTGTATTCTCATTTCTCTCATAGCTTTAAGTAATTTCGCTCTGTTTATTGAATCAAATGCTTGTTGGAAGTCTATAAAAAGCAGTTCAATTTCTATTTTATATCCATAAGCTTTCTCCATAATTTGCTTTACCGTATGTATGGCATCTGTTGTTGACTTTCCCCTAATAAATCCGCATTGATACTGTCCCATGATATTTGTTGTCGCTTTGGCCAGTCTTCGTTGTATTAAGGTTGACATGATTTTATACGCTGTGTTTAATAATGTCAGTCTTCTATAATTATTACACATTTGTTGGTCTCCTTTTTTATGGATTCTGATAATTTGTCCTTTGTGCCATTCTTCTGGCATCTTTTCTTTGTCCCATATAACTTTTATTAATTGGTATATTTTTTCTCTGAGTTCATGTCCACCATATTTTATTAGTTCCATGTTTATACCGTCTATACCTGGTGCTTTACCGTTGCGACTACTGTTTATAATTTCCTCAACTTCATTTCTCGTTGGTTTTTCTAGCTCGGTTTCTATCATCGTGGTCTCTTCTTCCACATTTTCATTTAAGTCTTCGTCCTCTTGTACTGTTAATAATTCTTTAAAATAATCAGTCCAGATTTCTTTAAACTCTTTATCATTTTCTGATACTTTTCCATTTCTATCCTTTATGCCTTTTATCTTTCCTTTGAAGGTTTTGTTCTGCTCGCTAATTTTCTTATAAAATGATTTTGTGTTTCTATTTGTGTTTTCTTTTTCTATTTCATTTATCTTATCATTTAACTAGGTTCGTTTAATTTTTCTTATTTGTTTCTTACATTCTGTCCTTAATTTGTTGTATTCTTCTTTATATTCTTGTCTATTTGTTCTGATCCACCTTTGTCTTATTTCTATCTTCTTTTTTAACATATTATGACAGTCTTGATTATACCATTCTTCTTTTTTGTTCTTTCTCTCTATCCCTACATGTTCAGAAGCTGGTTCATTTATACATTTTTTTATATTGCTCCATTCTGTTTCAACATCCTCTGTATGTTCACAGTATTCCTTCAGTTTTTTGCTTATATCTTCTGCATATTTAATTCTTCTATCTGTAGCATTTAATTTTTTTATGTACCATTTGTCCTTTGTTGTCTTGTTTTTTAGCGTTCTTTTGACTTTTTGTCTTATCGTTGCGGTAACCATGAAATGGTCTGTGTCTGCATGTGCACCTCTGTATGTTCTCACGTCTGGTATCGATGTTTGCTTTCTCTTTGTGATGAGTATATGGTCTATTTGGGACCATGTTTTTTGGTCTGGTGAGACCCATGTTACTTTGTGGTATACAGGGTGTGCAAATTTTGTACTACTGACAATCATATTGGTGCTAGTTGCTAAGTTGCATAATCTTTGACCATTATCATTTGTTTATTTATGTAATGTATATTTACCTGCAACTTGGTTAATGTAGTCTTCTTTGCCTATCTGAGCGTTAAAATCTCCCATTACCAGAATTGTGTCTTCTTTGGGTAAAGATTTAATTTCTTGTTCCAGTTTCTCATAGATGTTATCTTTTTCCTCTGTTACAGCACTTTTAGTTGGTGCATATACGTTTATGATGGATATATTAAATGGTTTGGCGTTTGGTATGCCATGCGCTCATTTATTGGTTTAAATTGCATAATATTATTTTGTATTTTTCCTGTAGTTATAAATGCAACTCCATGTTGACCTTGTTTTTCGTGCCCAGAGTAGTGTAATGTGTAATTTTTTTTATTTATTTCTCCTTGATCTGCCCATCTAATTTCTTGAATTGCTGCAACATCAATTCCGTATCTTTCCAGCTCTGAGACAATCTCTTGCATTTTTCCTGGTTCAAGCATTGTTCTGATGTTCCACGTACTTATTTTTTACTTGCTCGTGTTTTTTAATTTTTTTGTTATGTTTTTTTATGTACGTATGTTTTATTATTTTTTCTTGAGAATTCATATCCGCAAAAGACATATGCATAAGTTAAAAGAAATTTCCAGAGTCAGAGATCTTTGCAGACACACAATACACGACATCAAAATGATCACTACACTCCCTTAGGGGGTCAGAACTTCAGAGAGAGATTAAAAACAAAGAGTTTATATGCATGTATTAAATAAATTTATTATATATATAGTACAAATTATCTACTTACGTTTGGGTGATTCAAAATGGACAGCTACTAGTGGCGAAAGGTAACCATCTTGATTTTTGAACGGGAAGTACTGAGATGAGAAACCTCGCTGAGGTATATATCGTAATGGACCAATATTTTCCTTGTCGGCAGGATTTTCTCCTTCGCAAGTTACCCAAACCATTTGATGCTAAACATTTCCAAATTAAGTAAATAAAATTAATACTACATATACAATTTCTAATATTATTTGTTAAATAAACGTACCTCGTTCCTGGATTCAGCTTCTAAGATATCTTTTCTGATATATTCACTCATTATAGAGGCGTCAGGTAGATTGGTTGAATTATAGTATTCTGGATTCCAGTTGTAAATCTGCAACAAAATATTTGTTTCTATTTATAATGATATTTCTAATCTATTTTTTTCATTCATAATCCAGAAAACTTGTTATATACAGGATGCATCAAACCTCGGGCTATTTTTGAATAGGGGAGACTGGGGAGGGTTGAGCCACTTTTTTTTAGCGACCTGATTTTCTGCCTTGCTTTAGTAATTGCATAAAGTTTTTTACATATTGATTAACTGTAGGTTTTAATATTTTATCGCAATAGTATGATTATTTTAAAAATTATTATTTAAGCAAAAAATAAATGATTTAAGTACAACATGCACTTGTCTCAAACCTCCCTTATGAAGGGAGGCTTCAGACAAGCAAAGGGAGGTTTGAGGCAAGCATAGGGGGGGGGGGGGTTGAGACAAGAGTAGTAGGTAAAGTAGGTGAAGAGTTAAAATCAAATTTATTAAAGAAAGTAACTAGGTATTATTTAATCCAGCAATAACAATAATAAAAAAATGGAAACATTTGAAAAATATGCCAAAATAGTATGTATCTAATTAGAATAAATTTTCATATTTAGAAAAATCAACTGAAAAGAAAAGAGTCCTATTTGTTCTAGCTGTTCTTCCAGTTAAGGAGGGATTTGGTAACTTAACAAGATGGTTCCTCGGTGCACAACATTCAATTGCAACATCGAGAAAAAGAAATTTGTGTCCCGGAGGTTTTATTCTCATGTACAATAGGTCGTAATGGTTGCCATTAATATTTATGACTTAACTAACGAAATGTCAGAAAGTCTTTTTGGTAGAAAATCGTACCAGAACATAGTCATTCTTACTAACGTCTTGATTCATAAAGCTTTCTTCAGCATTTTCTTGTTCAATCTGTTCCTCTATATCAGTTAACTCATCAGAACTAGAAAAATTGAAAGAATCGTTAGATTGTTCAAAGTCCTCCATGACTATCTTAATTTCATTTTGTTTAAATGACACTTATTTTTCATCTTCTAATGCCAATTTTTTTTAATCTTTCCATCCTTTCCTCCTTTTTTATTTTGATTTATATTGTTTTTAGCACTTTCTTCAAATTCTTTTTCTATTTGGTCTTTTTCGGGGGTGTCCGTTAAAATCAGTATTTTCCCACCTTTCCTTCTAGCTTTCTTTTACGTGGAAGAGCTTTCAGAAGTGGCCTAATAACCTCTTCTTCTTCTTCTTCTTCTTCTTCTTCTTCTTCTTCAAGTGCTCTGTCCGTTGCGAACGTTGTCTATTAGCATGACAATTCTGATCTTGTTTGCGGCGCTTCTGAATAGTTCGACCGATTTGAGCCTGAATCACTTCTGCAGATTTTGGAGCCACGAGTGTCTTCTCCTGCCTAGCCTTCGCTTACTGTCTATTTTCCCCTGGATAATCAATTGCAGTAGACGGTACTTATCGTGTCTTAATATGTGGCCTAGATATTCAAGCTTTCTTTGCTTTATTGTGCTCACGATTTCTTTCTCCTTTCTGATTCTTTCTAATAACCTCAGGGCTTACAAATGTATTTGGATTATTTTGGGAAGTATGAGGGGCAGCCAAAAGTAAATTGTCTGTAGCCTGTAAAGCTTGAGATGGATCTGGCCGGTCTGTAATTTCCCCACTGGTAAAATCACTATCTGTAAATATAGCTGGATTGTATGAACAAATACCAGTATGTGAAAACCCACCTATGATATTGGCAGGTGTAAAATCGCGAATGTTAGCACTTCCCACAAGTTCAGGTATTTCTTTTAAGGATATCAGCTGTGCAGGATTGTTAACCATCCAGTTATCGGCTGATTTATTATAAAATCTTTTAAATGACCCAAAAACGTTGGTATCCAAGGGCTGTAACTTATCGCTAGTACGAGGTGGAGTGGTGAGTAGTATTACTTCATTGTTTTTACAGATGTTAAGCTCTTTTGGAGAAATATGGATCATGATTATCTAGTATCAACAGACACGTGTGATTCATGTCGACTCGGAAATATCTAATGAAGTGTAGTTAATATTTTTCGAAATTCTCATGAGTCATCCAGCCTGATGGGTTAACAGCAGCATCAGCACCAATGGGAAGCCCTCTTATTATTATTATTATTATTATATAACAAATAAGGGCAGATGAGCGAACTCCTATTATGCCCAAAAAGCAAAAATAAACAAAAATAAAATAGATCCTTATAAAACTAATACTAATTATAAAGTTAAGTACCTAGTTAAACAATTAACGAAAATTGAATTGTGACACAATAAATAAATAAATAATGCTGTCCGAGAAAAAATATCCTATCCTATAAAAAAAAATAAAGTGCTGTCAAGTTTATTTTTAAAGATGTTAACACTAGCTGCCGATATGGTGTTTTGATCCAAATTGTTCCATATATTAAAGATTCTGTTTGGCAAGAAGTTCGCCCTGGACCTTGCAGTAGTTTGTTCCCTCTTTAATTTGTATTGATGGCCTCTTAATCTATCGTCTTCATTCAAAGTAAATATGTTGTTTAGGTTCCCAAAATTATGTTTTAAAATACGGAAGGACATAATTAGGTCACCTCGAAGACGTCGCTGCTCGAATGTCGTAAGATGAGCCATGAATAGTCTATCTTCATAGTTCAAGTAGAATTTTATCGCGACTAAGATCTGGATTCCACACTGGTCCGGCAAACTCAAGAATAGGTCTAACGTATATTGAGTAAAGTTTACTAAAAGAGGTTAGAGATATGCGTGCAAAACACTTACGAATCAAAAACAGTTTCGAGTTAGCACGTTTACACACCGACACTATGTGATCAGACCAATTTAAGTCACTATTAATTATCACTCCGAGATCGTTGTGTGAGGTTACAGAGTTTAAAGGATGTCCATTAATAAAGTACGGAAGTGATGGGTTATTTTTGCCGATATGTAAAACAACGCATTTTTCAATGTTAAGCGGAAGTAACCATTCTGAGGACCATTTGAATATTGCGTCAAGATCTTGTTGAAGAATATGTTGGTTAATAGTTGGATTCACATATAACTTAGTGTCATCAGCGTAAATGGAAACCTTACTGGATACAATGAGCGGAAGATCACTAGTGTAGACACAAAAAAGTAGCGGTCCAAGTACTGATCCTTGTGGAACTCCACTCTTGACTGGCTTATCTAATGAGTGGTCTTCCCCAACACGAACCCTGAAGTATCTGTCGGATAGAAAATCTTGTATCCAAATGTTTAATTTTCCGCGGATACCATAGTGATCCAATTTAGCTAGTAATCGACGTTTTGGAACACGATCGAAAGCTTTGGAGAAGTCTAAGTAAACTACATCGACAGGATTCCGATTGTTTAAAGATAAATTAAATTCGGATTAATTAAAAATTGGAAATATTGTTACCACACGTACCTTTAGTACATAAAACTGTTACCGGTGATCCTCTTTCGCACAATGTTGCCTTTAATGCATTGATATCAATTTATTTATGAATATTCTTGATAATATTAAGACATTAAAATCATTAAAAGTAAGCACTAAATTATTCGGGTAATGTGATCACAAGTAAATGGAATGGAGAAACATTACCTTGTTAAGTTTAAGGAAAATACAAGGGCCTCCTTTTTCGTCTTCGAATCCAAATCCGGCTTCTTCTAAACAAGGATGCCATTTCTGGGGAGTCATTTTAACATCACAAACTTTACCTGGCGTCGGACTGACAAACATACTGCATTGTTCAACATTATTGTAGTTTGGATTATTTTCTTTATGGTAAGCTAAAATAAAAAAAAATAACATACACAAAATATTACTGAAATCTTCATATCAAATTTTGCATATCACGTAATTCTTGTTATAACTATTCAAGATTAATAGTCACCTATCGACAAAATCCGATTAGTTTGGAATTTTTTTGCTTTTACAGAATTATATGCAGGTATGGAAAAATATTTGATAATATTGCATTAAGACAAGGCAACGAGCTGACCAAAAATATTATATAGAGTTGAATGTCCGAGAGAATAATATGTAACCACATGTCTGAGATTTAGAAGCAGGGTTTCAGAACAGTTTCTTTCGTCTTCTTCTTTAAGTTCCATCTTCTATCGAAGGTTGGAAATCATCATGGCTATGCGGACTCTGTTGACTGCCGCTCTAAAAAGTTCTGCACTACTGCATTCAAACCATTCCCTTAAGTTCTTAAGCCAGGATATTCTTCATCTTCCCACATTTCGCTTTCCTCGGATTTTGCCCTGCCATAATAAGTTGTAATAATGCGTATTTTTGCCCTCTCATCACATGTCCCAAGTACTCAAGTTTTCGTCTTTTAATAGTTAATATTATTTCCGCCTCATTTCCTATCCTTCTAGTTACTTCCATGTTTGACATTCTTGAGTCCATGATATTCGTAGGATTCTTCTGTAACACCAAAATTCAAAGGCGGCCAACTTATTCAGATGAACTTGTTTTATTGTCCAAGCTTTCAAACCATAAAGAAGTACAGTTTCTTTATTTAATCTCAATTAATAAAAAATTACAATAAATTTTGAATGACAAATTAAAACAATGTATTCTAAGAAATAACAATTTTATAATTTTAATTAACAACTTACAGACCCAATAGAAATAGGCAGTGGAATAAGACAATGGGATTCATTGAACCCCACGCTCTTCAATTTGATCATTGATGAAATCATCAACAGCGCTAACAAAGGAAGATGATACAGAATGCGAAACAAAGAAATCAAAATACTCTGTTACGCAGACGACGCAATATTGAAAGCCCAAGACGAAGATAGTCTGCAAAGACTGGTCCACAGATTTAACGTAAGAGCAAAAGAATTTAATATAACAATCTCATCTCAGAAAACTAAAACAATAGTAGTCCAATCAGATGTAAAATGGAAATTAATAGCATCAGTATTGAACAAGTAATGGAAATAAGATACCTGGGAATTACACTATCTAGCTGTGGAGACCTGGACAAACAAGTGAGAGATTAAGCACAAAAAGCAAATAGACTGGCAGGATGCCTTAATAACACTATATGATGAAACATACACATTGATACTGAGATGAAGTCAAGAATTTATAAAGCCACTGTAAGACCAATAATGACATATGCCTCAGAAACAAGACCCGATACAGTCACAACGCAAAGACTACTGGAAACTGCAGAGATGAGAGTACTGAGAAGAATTACAGGAAATACGCTGAGATGTCGAAAGAGAAGTGAAGACATGAGAAGAAAGACACATTAGATGCATGGACACAAAATAGAAAAAAAAATGGAATAACCACATAAGCAGAATGAAAGAGATCTATGTCATCAGAATAGCAAGAGATAAGTCACCAATCGGCAGAAGAAGTATCGGGCGTCCGCGCAAAAGATGGTGTAACAGCCTTCCATCTTATATACTAAAACGACCGGAAGTTAAAATTTACTTTAAGTTTTAGACTCCACAATGTATATATGGATCGAAAGGTCTCGTCGAGACGAATCTAAATATGTACTTCCGGTTGCGATCCGACACCGGAAGTGACCCGAATCGCGCATAAAACCTCAAGATAGAGCAAATCTGACACCGGATTCGTGATCAGCATGCAAAATTAACTGCCAAATGATATCCGTGTCGACTTTTTACTTGCATTATTATTAATGAATGTTATGTATATTCTTGCTTATATTGTTTGTATTGATCTCTTAATTTTTCTCGCAAAATAAAAATTTCATTTAAAAAACTCGATGTCGAGTTGGTCCGCTAGTAGAAGTATTAATCTGTCAATGAACAAGCAGAATTGCTTATAAAGAGGAGGAAGAAGAAGATATAATTTTAATTAAAACTATTTTAAATTAAATTTTCAAAAAGCCCACCACTTTCAGCCAAGCAGTAGCTCAATCTATTATATAGTTAAATTGATATAAGGTTGAATGCTCGAATAAATGAACTTTGATGAAATAAAAAACGGGTAACGGGTAGATACACTTTGCGATCCCGGTAAAGTTAGGTCTACTACAGGTTTGCGACCCTGCCCTGCCTACGTGAGCCGTGGTTCACTCTCACTCCCTTTAACCGGGAGGGTATCACGTCCCAACCTATCATCCTTGTCAAAGACCCCAAAATTTCCTAACATCCGTCTACCAACCCGCACAGGCCAGCGTGGTAGAGAAACGGCAATGAACCCCCGTAAAATCAGAAACGATGAAGACGCAAGGCCCTCAGTCTCCGGCAGTCCCTTGAAACTAGGCTACGGTAACAGTCACGGAGGTAGAGAGACAGAGGGTGCTAAGAATCTCCGGAGTGGACGGCTACCTTTACAAACGACAACGGCAAAAAATATGGTTTATGGCAACATATAACACCAGAACATTGATGGAGGACGAAAAACTTAAGGAACTTAAAAACGAGCTGAAGTATATAAAATGAGATATACTTGGATTATCTGAAGTACGGCGAAAAGGCGAAGAACAAATGGTAATTTCGTCAGGAAATCTATTTCACTATAGAGGAGAATCTTCTAATGGTGCCGTCGGATTTATGATAAATAAAAAAACACACGAAGAATATACTTTCAATTGAAAGCATAAGTGATAAAGTTATTTATCTTATCTACAAAGTAAACGAAAAAATTCGATTAAAGATCATTCAGGTATACGCACCTACCAGTTCCCACACAGACGAAGAAGTTAAATGGTTCTACAATGACATTAACACTGCTCTAGAAGAGGTATCCACCAACTATACCATACTGATGGGAGACCTAAACGCAAAAATAGGCCACAAGCAGGATGATTCGGAGTTTGTACTTGGACCTCACGGATATGGCCACAGAAATGAAAGGGGTCAAACTCTTATAGAATTTCTTCTGCAACACAGACTATATGTCATGAACAACCATTTTAAAAAAGCCCTCAATAAAATGGACTTGGCAATCACCAAATGGCTTAAACAAGAACGAACTTGATTTTATCTTTACTAACAAAAAATACGCTGTTCAAGACGTAACTATATTAAATCAATTTTCAACCGGAAGTGACCATAGAATGATCAGAACGAAGGTAGTTTTGAACGTAAAGAAGGAATGGAGAAATATGGTATCAAGGACTAAAAATGTTACGTTCACTGCGATTACTAACACAAGGGCATACCAGGAAGAAATAGATAGAAACCTTCAGCCTGACGTGCAAGATGAAACCGATATTGAACAACTTATCGAAATGTTGGTGGACGCTCTAAGGAAGGCACAGAAGATCTGTCAAGTTAAGCAAACAAGGAAAAATGTAAAACTTACAAAAGGCACAAGGAACCTAATGCAAAAAAGAAGGGAAATGAAAGATAAGCACACAGTGAACATCGCAGAGCTGAGGAATTTAAATAATATCATTGCAAAAGCTGTTAGGAAAGACATAAGGGATTTTATTACTAAAGAAATAACTAATACCATAGAACAAAACAAAAGCCTTAAAGTTCTAAAACGAAAGTTGAAGACAGAAACCAGGAACATTTATAACCTAAAAAGTACACAAGGACATGCTGTATATGAACAACATAGAACATTATATCGTCGAGATGCTCACATTCCAGAGGTGGAAATCTCAGCCATACAAAATCAAGGATCAGAGGAACGTCCAGATATAACCGAAGAGGAAATCGAATCAGCGTTTAAAGGTATGAAGAACGGTAAATCACCTGGAGAAGATGACATTGTAACTGAAATGCTAAAATTAGGAGGCGAGTGCGTCATAAAAGCTTTAAAAACTCTTTATAATGCCTGCCTCTTTGAAGGAGTTACACCAAAAAAATGGAATAGTGCCATTATAATAATATTGCACAAAAAAGGAGATGTAACAGAAATTGACAACTAGAGACCTATCTTGCTTGTTATCTCATTTATATAAGCCCTTTATGAGAATAATTACTAACAGACTGGAACCTAAGCTGGATCTTCACCAACCATTAGAGCAGGCTGGATTTAGAAGTGGCTTTGGAACGAATGACCACCTACAAGTAATAAAATTCTTAATAGAGAAAGTTACATAATAGAACATGCCATTGAGATTAATATTTGTAGACTTTGAGAAAGCGTTTGACTCAGTTGAGCATAGCTCCATGTTAAGAGCTCTTACAGAGTGTAGTATTGATCATAGGTATACAAATTTTCTTCAGAATATATATAAGAGCGCAACAGCTACAGTTAGAATGTATTATGGCAACACAAATACATTTTCCTTCGAGAGGGGTATTAGGCAAGGAGAAACCATCTCTCCTAAGCTATTCACCGCTTTGTTGCAGTGTGCTATGAGAAACAATAATTAAGAGAATATTGGAGGTCAACATAAATGGAAAATTTCTGAACAACTTGAGATTTACAGACGACATATTCCTGATTGCAGACCGTGTAGATCATGCCTGCCAGCTTCTTCAAGACCTTCAAAGCTCGTGTACACGAGTTGAACTTAAAATTATTTTCTCCAAAACACAATATATGACCAACCTTGTACTGGTGAAAAACATCTCAACTAACGGCACGCAAATTGAACAGATGTATAGCTATAAATATCTGGGCCACGAGATTAAATTAGGAAGAGATAATCAAACAACGGAGCTAAACAGAAGAATAGGACTGGCATGGGCGGCTTACGGAAAACTGAGAGAAGTCTTTAGATCAGATATTCCCATGTGCTTGAAAAGGAAGGTCTTTCCTCAATGTGTACTCCCAGTTCTAACGTATGGAGCAGAAACATTGACCATTACCAGAAAAGTAATCAATAAAATACAAGTGGCACAGAGAGCGATGGAGAGGACATTGCTATATACAGAGTATCAAATACAATAATTAGGAGAAAAACTGGTGTTACTGACGCAGTTCAAAGGATTACAATATTGAAATGGAACTGGGCAGATCTGGCATGTTGCCAGATTAAAAGATGGAAGGCGGTCAAAGAAAATTCTGGAATAGAGACCTAGATACGATGCTTATCGTAATCGAGGACGTCCTCCAACAAGGTGGTCAGATGACATCAAGCGCATTCAGCACAACTGGATTCAGGGTGCTCAAGATAGAATGCATTGGATTTATTTACGGGAGGCCTATGTCCAGCAGTGGAATCAAAACGGCTGATGATGATGATGATGATGATGATCAAATAAAAGGCAGATATCGAGCACAGTTTTATTAATTAAATCTTGCCCAAGTACTTTCGCTCCCTAGAGCATCTTCAGGGGCATTTCGTCAATTGTGGCCTATCCAACACGAATAAAATGTTACAAACATAAAAATTGTACCTCACCCTACACTACATAAGGATAAAACATTGTTTGTCCTTATGTAGTGTGGTGTGATGTACAATTTTATCACATAAATATAGGCCAAAATTAAAGAAATGCCCTGAAGATGCTCTAGGAAGTGAAAGTACTTGGGCAAGATTGAATTAATAAAACTATGCTCGATATCTGCCTTACTGCGCGAAAAAAGTTATTGATTTTTAAAAATGAGTTTTAGTTTTTCAGTTTTTGCATATATGTAACTGGTTTTAACATTAAAAATTACTTTGTTTATTCTGTGTAAGTATACTTACTACTAGCTCAAAACAGCCTATATTCTCGGAATAAAATATTTTTTACCTTTGGTTACAAAAACACTTTTCCAAATTTTATAGCTTAATTTCATTCTTTTAAATTCCTGATATGGGTATTCTAAGAAAGGCTGTTAGATAAGAATAATTCTACACATAGATGTAACCACTCGTATTACCATTTATCACTCAGTTAAAACAGTCTTTCTTCAATCGTGAAAAATTATTTAAAGTGAATATGGACCATTTTTTAATAAGATGCCTCATATTTAAATTAATACTTAAATCAAGTAATACTTACTCTTTAAGAATTTCTTAAGTTCACTTTGCCAATAATGGACATTTCCCTTATCACTACTTTTATACCAAATTAATGTACTTTCTACATTACTTTCTGGAGGCATTGGTCGAAATCCTAAACCTAAAACAAAATTGAAAAACTTAGTTTTTAAGAAATGTTTTACAATTCTTTTAAATGACAATACATTTAGAAGCTGTAAACAATTTTAGAAACAGTGTTTAAAAATAATTTAAATTGATTAAAATAAAAAGACAGCAAATATTCGACTTCATGCAAACAATCCCTATGTATCTGTTGATACGTATTTCGACCTAATAGGTCTCATCAGAACAGTTATTCATAGGTGTTCTCAACGTGAAAAATCAATATTTTCTGACTTTTAAGAAGCAACAATACAATGGCTTCAATACGGACGCGATAGCGACATCTAATTACAAAATCCGTAAAAATAGTTTCGAAACACAATTCAGATTTCTGCTTATAATCTGAGCCTTCCAAAAATTGCAAGGCAAACAGACGTTGATAAAAGATGTTAAAAGGGACATTGGGAATCTAAAATTTGCATTCCACGACATGTCTTTTACAACTAAGCAGAAATCCTTAGTGAATTGTGCTTCTAGTACTCACACAGAGTATATCCGAAATAAAATGAAAAAGACAGCAAATATTCGACTTCACGCAAACAATCCCTATGTATCTGTTGATACGTATTTCGACTTAATAGGTCTCATCAGAATAGCTATTCATAGGTGTTCTCAACGTGAAAAATCAATATTTTCTGTCTTTTAAGAAGCAACAATAAAATAGCTTCAATACGGACGCGATAGCGACATCTAATTACAAAATCCGTAAAATAGTTTCGAAACACAATTCAGATTTCTGCTTATAATCTGAGCCTTCTAAAAATTGCAAGGCAAACAGACGTTGACATCTTTTAACTTTTAACATCTTTTATCAACGTCTGTTTGCCTTGCAATTTGTAGAAGGCTCAGATTATAAGCAGAAATCTGAATTGTGTTTCGAAACTATTTTACGGATTTTGTAATTAGATGTCGCTATCGCGTCCGTATTGAAGCAATTTTATTGTTGCTTCTTAAAAGACAGAAAATATTGATTTTTCACGTTGAGAACACCTATGAATAGCTGTTCTGATGAGACCTATTAGGTCGAAATACGTATCAACAGATACATAGGGATTGTTTGCGTGAAGTCGAATATTTGCTGTCTTTTTCATTTTATTTCGGATATACTCTGTGTGAGTACTAGAAGCACAATTTGCTAAGTAGTTCTGCTTAGTTGTAAAAGACATGTCGCGGAATGCAAATTTTAGATTCCCCATGTGCCTTTTTAACATCTTTTAGCAACGTCTGTTTGCCTTGCAATTTTTAGAAGGCTCAGATTATAAGCAGAAATCTGAATTGTGTTTCGAAACTATTTTACGGATTTTGTAATTTCAATTGACTTTGTTTATTCACAATGTTTGCTAATCATAATTAAAGATCTATCCATAAATTATCCATAAACCCATAATAAAATAGGGAAGTAAAGCTTCGGGAAAGGCCGAGGAGAGGAAGCATAGCTTTTTTATCATCTAAGCAAGAAGCGATGGTTTTATTTATGACGATTTATTTACTATAATTTATTTATTTTAATTTATTCTATTTCCTTTTATTTCTATTTAATTCGTTAATCGATTCAATTCGGTTCGATATTAGATTCGATTCGCTATTTGATTCGATTCGATTTTGATTCAATCAATTCAATTATAGAAATATGCTTTATTGTCACTGAAAGTTGTACAATTTTATGGACAAAGCTTACAAAAGTAAAAAAAATAACAATAACAATTAAAATTTACTAAAATTACATAAATCATTAATGTCATAGAATCACAAAATAAAAGATAATAAAATATACAATCCATTGCAAAATTTAACTAAATTGCAAATTGCAATACGAAGACAGAACAGAACAGACCTTACGAAGTAATCTACGAATAAGTTTAAGTTTCTGCATGTGATAATATATTTAAAAATACTTTCGTTGCCTGTATCCAAACGTACTATAATTTCTTAGTTATTCGTTAAGAAACTTTTTTTTTATTGGGAATGCGTCGACAACTAATGGTCATTGGCATGGTACAGTGAATTTTTACAGTCAGGTGTGTAGTGTGTGTGTATGTGTGTAGAGTAATTGTCTTGATACTTAGCAAAGTCGACGTCATTGTCTTTGCTAAGAGACGCTAATTGTATCCGAACGTCTGCGGTCCCTCCGGTGAGTACCGATCGCACAAGGATAGAAATTATTTTCATTCATTAATTTTTAATAAACGAAAATTTCCACCCAGGTGGGATTCGAACTCACGACCTTTAGTTTCAAAGGTAGGCGCTCTTACCACTGAGCCACACAAGGGGTTCGTTAAGAAACTCTTTCACTGAATAATATGGTCTTTCAGATAGATAGGTTTTTGTCAAGTTACGGAACTTAAAGAACGGGGTTCTAGATTTAAGTTACAAAGGGAGATGGTTGTATAATTTTTTTGCCGAATATTTTATAGATTTTTTTATTAACTCAGTGGACGGAATCGGTAAATACACATGAAAGCTTGAATTTCTGGTGGAGTAGTCATGATTAGGTCTTGCTGAAAAAACGTGTAGGTGTTTACGAATTAAGCAAACACTTTCTAGAAGATATAAAGAGGGAGGAGTTAAAATCCCGTGATTTTTTAAGTAGCTTCTGCAATGTGTTATTCTACTGAGTTCAAAAAGTATTATTTAAAAATAACATCAGATTGGGCAGCTGTACTAGAACCCCAAAAAGGAAGGCCACATCGAAGATGAACGAAGAAAAATATGTTATTTTGGAAGATGCTAAATTGATTTCCTTTTAAACAGATCTTATTGCATAGCAGGCTGAGGCTAGTTTCTTACTTAACAAATCGACATGAAGAAACCATTTAAGGTCGCTCTCTATAAAAATACTAAGAAATTTTACAGAACAAACAATGCCGCTGTGGATGTTATTTCGAAGCAAGGATTGAGGAACTCCTTTATATGATAAGGCTACTGTCTTATCCACGTTAAAAGAGAGTAAATTAGATTCGAACCATTTTAAGTAGATGAGAAGTTATAACTTCATGAAGAGCTGCAATATTAGAGTTCCTCTAGGTAATATTAGTATCATCAGCAAAAAGAAAAAAAATTTCATGGATTTTTAAGTTAGTGATTTCATTTATAAAGATAATGAAAAGTAGAGGACCCAGTACTAAACCTTGTGGTACTCCACATACAATGTTTTGTGACTAGAGTCAATATCATTTGCTCTAACTAGTTGTTTTCTATTCCTCAAGTAAGATTGGAACCAATTCAAAGAAATACCTCGAACTCCGTAGAAATTTAGGTTTTTTTTATCAAAATGTAGTGATTTTCACAGTAAAAAGCATTGACATAGTCACCAAAAATAGTGGCAGCATAAAGATTATTGTTTAGTGCTTGATAGACCCATGTAGTACAGAAAACATAGCATCGCTGGTACATTTATTAGATACAAAGCCGAACTGACTTTGTGATAAAATGTTGTTTTCAACGAGAAAGGACATAAGTCGGGCTTTTATAAGTCTCTCAATCATTTTGAATAGGACCGGTAGTGAGGCAATATGTCTATAGTTGCAGACATTAGATTTTTCACCGCCCTTATAAAGACGAATAACAATGGCTGTCTTTAGGCACTCTAGAAATATACCTTTTTTAAATGAATCGTTAATTAACGAGACCAGTACTTCCAGCACATTTTTTTGGTAGATTTAAGAAAATTTTTATGGATAATCTATCATTACTACAAGAAGATTTGCTTTTGATACTGCTGATTGTTTGAATAAGTTCAGATTTATATTCAGTGACAAAGACGTTGGTAGTAAGTTTTTTTATGTACAGGAGTGAACGCATATTTTTGGCTGATACCTTCGATAGTCCAGGGTTTGTGATGTTTAGACTTAATTGTAATTAAAGTAAGTGTCTTATTAAAAATACAGACAATCCTATCTAAAAAATCACTGAAATTATAGTCTATGTCCACAGGGGATAATCGATTTGATTCGATAATCTACTCGATAATCGATTCGAGTCGATAATTGATTCGATAATAAATTCGATTCGATAATAAATTCAATTTGATAATTGATCTGATTCAAGAATCGATTCTATAATAGATTCGATTCGATATTTGATTCAATATATGATTCGATTCGATAATCGATTCGATTTGATTCGATAATCTATTCAATTCTATAATCGATTTGATTCGATAATTAATTCGATAATCAATTAAATTCGCTAATCGATTCGATTCGATATATTATGATTTGGTTTGTTAATGTAATGGAAAACAGATATAGTTATAAAATATTAAATAAAAACTTTCCTGTACCATAATAACTCTATTTAATGTTATACCTACATTTATATACTAAATTGCATAAGTGTATACTATATTTTTGGACAGAGAGAATATAATTTTTAGCATAGAATACGTTTTTATTTTTTTATTTTATGACTATATTTATTTTCCATTCAAAACAAACTTTTTGAATTTTAGTTCTTAAAATTCACAACATATTTTTTGAATTAGCTGACTAAAATTCAGAACTTACGTTTTGAATTTGTCGCCAAATGAAATTAGTTAGGGCCCGTCCGCATTTGGCGCTAGAAACTGTCTCCCCAAACTTTATATGGCACTTACCTTACTGAGAGAGTATTTACTGTAACTGTTTTTTCATTATGCAATAGTCTGCCTCGATTAAAACATATTAACTTGAATGGTCTTGAACCATGATACTAAGACTTCCAAGATAAACCCACTTCGCAATCGAATTTTGTAGATCGACGCGCATGACGTCAATTGGTGATAAAAGTCACTTTTATCACCAACCTTTTATAATCACAGTCGGCAAAACACAGAGGGTTTTTATTTAAATATTTAGAATATTAAGGGAAAAAAAGGTAAAATATCTGCAATTAAATCTTAAAAATATGTTATATATCTCTGTTAGCCTAGCAATGTAAACTAAAATTATATATAAAAAAGTAAGAACTAAACATCCTTTTGCAAATGGAAATTTATATACAATGGATTGATTTATTAAAATAAAAATTTAATACAACTGATAAAATAAAATACACTGTAATAATTTACAAGTTTATTTAACAATTTATTTTACAATTTTTAATATTTTCTTCTTCTTAACTTTGGATGTTTCTTTAATATATCTATTCAATTTTCTAATTTTAAAATATAATTTACACCTTTACTAACATTACATCTGAACACAGCTAAATCCATTAGCGATTTTAAATAATTCTTGGTTAATTTTAATGACACTTTGTTAAAATTGTTAAAAATATGGTCCAGTTCATTACATTTTATTAGAAAATCTGGATATGGTTTAAGTAAACCTCCTTCGGAAAGATGGTTTACCCAGTAAACCGATGTCAACGTACAAGATAAACGATAAAACAAAACTAAATCTCAAGGTTAGTAGATATTTACAAGTAAGTAGATACTTAAATATCTACTAACCTTGACTAAATCTGACAAAACTCCATACAACACAGAACATTTCTGGTGACATTTGTCGCCAAGTGACGTCACACGACTGATCGCGTGCGCGTGGGTTTATCTGTAGTTTATAGTATCATGGTCTTGAACAGTAAACGGACCAGAGGGTTTATGGATAATACGAATTTGTCTAATTTATTATTGAAAAAGATTTTTCTTTGGTAAAAACTGTAGTTTAAGTGTACTATCTTATTTTTGATGCTCTGTGTATGGGGAAAATATATCAGTGCACTCGAAAGTTTTTAAAGAAATTAACTACATAAATTAAAAAAAAATATTGTGGGCACAAAAAAAGTCGACAATACTCAAGTTTATTATTTTACTTACCTGGATTATTTCCAATTAAACCATTGTCTAATTCCCATTTGGGTTTTTTGGAATCTAATGTTTGGTAGAATACTGCTAACATAGCAGCAAAAAATCCTATTAAAACAGCATAGAATATTAGGTAGAATAATAAAATTTTTCCTGAAACAAAAACAAAAAATTAGGGATATTGATTAATAAAAAATATATATAAGAACTGAATCACTTTTAAAAAAACCCTATTTAAAATAGTGGTTTTGTGAAAAAGTCCATCAAGAAAGGGACATAAAGTGATTTATTAAACTTCTTCGAACATTTTTTCCTTATACTTAAACAATATTACATTTTTCATTAAAAAAATTTATTTTCTTTGATCTTCTTTCCAAATATTTTCACTCCTGGATTGTACCGAAAATATAAATGAAAGATTTTCATTATTTTTAGTCTCCTTATTAAATTAGTCTGAAAGAGCTTTCGTAGCTTTGGCAACGGGAAATTCATGTGCACACCTTTAACTCGGAAAGCTATATCGACTTAGTCCATAGTCCAAATCGTTCGTGAAACAAGCCGAGCCATTTATGAAGAACTAACGAAAGAATACTTAAAGGTAGAACGTAATATGTATTTATTTTTACACAAAACGACATTCAAATAATATTTTACTGGGATTTATTTCTTTCTATCTCTCTCTATGTTTGTATCTCTCTATCTCTCTCTATCAATACCGAACAAAGTTTGAAGGACAATTTATTAGGAAATATTTATAGTGTATTTTTATGTATGAGAGAGTAATAAAACAATAAATTATGTATGCAAATCCCTAAACTGTTGATACGGGTGACTCAATGAAAAAACAGATATTTGTCAACAAGTTTACAGAAGTATATAGGAAAACAATTTTAAATTGAGTATGACCACCAGGTATAAAGGTTGGAGCAGAATAGAATACAATAGTTGTGAGGGTTACTAATCCCTAAATAAGGTTGCCAGTGTCGGAGTGAGTGAGGTTAACAGGTACTAATGAATTTGCAAGAAATGTAAGATGTTTATTTTATTGGTTATATATAACCAATAAAAGTTTAATAAGTACCTACCTATTTGCAAAATGAAGTTTAATTCTTTAGATAAAATAAAACGTTTTATTTTATCTGAAATGAGTGCATTCCACGAAGTAAGGGTTTCAACAATCAAACATTTAATTCTTTAATTCCAGGAATCTACGACAGTAATTGACTAGATAATTACCTTCTAAACTTATTCCACAGAAAATGTGATAGTGAGTTTTTCCATTTTGTAGGAAGGTCCAAGTGGCGTATTCAAAATTCTTAACAGTTCACTAAAAGTAGGTACTTCAGTTGCAAGGTGCAGTTTATTGTGTATACTAGTGTTATGGAAAATTTGGAACTGCCGTGTAAACGCCGAAAAATTGGTCCTTTAACAGTTAATGAAAAAACATTAATATTTAATTGTTTTAAATCATTTACAGACAAACGTTTATGTGAAAGTGTTGATGAGACCGTTGAGTTAGTTAGCAGTACACTTGGTGTTGGGAAATCTACGATTTACAGAGTTATTAAAGAAGAGAAATGTGGTAGTTTTCAAATGCCACGTAATGCTCCAGGGAAACCAAAATTTCAAATAGAATATCATTTTAAAGAAGGACTTCGACGGAAAGTGCATGAATTCTTCTTTAGACAAGAATTTCCAACATTGGATAAAGTTCTTGTCTCAGTTCGAGAGGATAAGGATTAGGTACCCAGAAATGAGTCGAAGTACGTTATGGAAACTTTTAAAAGAAATAGGCTTCGCTGGAAAAAGAATCCCAGAAAGTCTATTTTATTAGAAAGAAGCGATATTGTCATATGGAGAAGACATTTTCTAAGAACCATAAAGGAAATGAGAAACCAAAGAAGAAAAATATTTTATCTTGATAAACATGGATCAACGAGGGTCATACACCAAATAAATTTTGGCAGGATGAAACTGTTACAAGTCAAAGGCACGCTTTTGTAAATAACTTATCTACTGGTTTAAACCCACCATCAGGAAAGGGACGCAGGCTGATAATAATACACATTGGCAGTTCAGACGGTTATGTTGAAGGTGGTTTATTAACTTTTGAATCAACTAGTACCGGTGACTACCATGAAGACATGAACGCTGATGTCTTTCAAGAATGGTTCGAACAAATGATAGATCTTCTTTCTAAGAACTGTGTAATAGTAATGAATAATGCAAGTTATCACTCCAGACTTATAGAAGGACTGCCCACAACCAAGTGGTTAAAAAAAGACTTGCAGAATTGGCTGAGTTCAAAAAATATTACGTACCATCCCGGATCTATAAGAAAGGAACTTTATTCGTTGTGTGCCCTTGTGTGTTCCAAAAATCGTGGAATGACAGTACTTAGATCCCCACCATATCATTGTGAATTAAACCCGATTGAACTGGTATGGGCACAGATAAAGAGTGAAGTTTCAAGAAAAAATACCACTTTTAAAATTCATGATGTTAAACAGTTGTTTTTGGAGGCCGTAAATAATGTAAAACCTGAAAACTGGGAAAAGGCAGTAAATCACACTATTAAAGAAGAGGAAAAAAATGTGGAAGCTGGACAATATTACTGATAAAATGATCGAGCCAGTTATTATAAATCTTGGTTCTGAAAGTTCATCTTCTGAATCTGATTTGGATTTGTAACAAGTAGCTGTAAGTTTTATATTAATATTTTTATTCATCTATTTAACATACCTTAGACGGTTTTAAAAACTCTTTTTCTCTTTTGTAACTTTTAAAAATTAAAAAAAATGTGAATTTTTTAAAACCCTTTTTAATGTAGACCAGTCAGTTCTAATATAGTGTGTGATAAAAGAGGTCACTTTTGTTTACATACACATAACACTTTATAACGCTGAAATAATTCGTTTATTTTTTACAATTATTCAAAGTAATTGTTCAATTAATCTTGAGCACGCCCATGGAGTGGCGGAGGTACCAGTTAAAATTATGCTAATTACTCTCTCGTTCATAAAAATAAACTATAGATTAATATATAAATATATCACATTATCAGCACAGTTATATATACAGGGTGCGGCAGATAACCGGCCAATTAGAAATATCTCTAAAACTAATGGTAAATGAATCATAAAAATTGGAATAAAAGGGTTTTGAAGAGTGACCTATTTAATAAAAATATCATTATCTATTTTCTACTTCTGATTATATTGAAAGATACTTATAACTTCGGTTTTTATTGAAATACCCTGTATATTTTTTAATTTTAGAAATATTCACGTTATTCTGAACATTTTTTGTTAATACTTCCCTATACCATTTGTAATTTTTGCCAAATTCCTTTTTTTCAAATGCCAAATTACTTACCTATATGTGATTCATTATTTTTAAAAATATATTTTCCACTATCGATATGTATTAGCATTCCCTATACTTATCTCTTGCAGTTTTCAAACAAATTAACTAAACTAATTAAAAGAAAAATTCGTAGACTATGTTGTGTTAATTTACAACTTTCATATTGTAAGTTGAACATTTAAAAATATGTTATCCTATAACCCATCCAAAGATACCCATCAATATCCAATCATTTATGAACTCTTTTAACTAGATTTTCATTAGTTGCTCTTGGTATTAATTCTCCATCTATTTTGTTAAGAACTTAAAGGACTTTATTTATTATAGCCTCCTAAGTAGTGACAGGTTCAGAGAACACCTTATTTTTACCAAATCTGCACATATAGAAATCTAATGGTGACAACGGGATCTTGGTGAACAGAGAAACGGATTTTATTAGCCATCCGTCTATCACCAAATACTTCATCAAGCAACGTGCCGACTCCTGGAATATTGTGAGCCGGTGCTCCATCTTGTTGAAACCAAGCATTTTAGGCTTATTATTATGCAAAGCGCGCAGTGCTCATACAATTTCTTCTTGTTTCAGTGCCCTGTCCGATTATCGAACGTTGGCGATCATATTGGCAATAATAACCTTATTCACGGCGACTCTAAATAAATTAGCGGTGCTTTCTTGATACCATTTTCGGAGATTTCGTAGCCAGGATGTTCTTCGTCAGCCAGGGCCTCTCATTTCGTCGATCTTACCCTGTATTGTGAGGTGTAGAAGGTTATACCTCTCTGGATGTCTCATTACATGAGACGAAATATTGTAACTTCCGAATTTTTATCGTTTTTGTTATTTCTGTGCTCTTTTTTATTTGATGTAAAACTATTTCATTCCTTATTCGATCAACCCAACTTATCCGCAATGTCTCTGTAAGGGTCCAGCTCTCCATACCATACAGCAATGTGGAGAATATGTAGCAGCGTTTTAGCCCATATTCATCACATGCTTCTGTTACCCTATTTATAAGTCGTTGCAGGTCTTTTTCATTGGAGGCAATAAGTACCGTGTCGTACCGTACCGCACATACAATTACTTGCCGAAAAATGTTGCAGTAACGTTCTCGGTTTAAATTTTCGTCATACATCATGGGAGCGACTATCTTATTACTTTTCACAGCACAAAAAACATTGAAACATTGAAAAGAATGCTTAAAATTTACTATCCCACTGTAGCGTTTACGCTACTGATTAACCCCTTAAGAAATTTCTTATTACCCGCCTACGATCGATTTTAAATCGACATTTCTCCACTCACGCGCTGGGAGCGCTTTGAAAGGATTGATCGATTTTATGCGGAAGCAAAGCGGTCAGTTTTGGTCAGAACTCATACGCAGCCACATCAATCAATTCAAAGTGACGGAATTGGAGCAATAAAATAATCTGGGACGAATAAAATAATACCAATTTAATAATCATATCTTAATAATAATAATAAGTAAATTTTAAAAATCAAGATTTTCTCATTTATAAGAGTTCCACATAAAAAGGAAGATTTTTTTGGCGTGCTGCGGCTCCATGTAAGTAAATAATTTCATACGTATTATCTCTTTATCATATAATCAAATTTATCATTGCAGTTTAGTATTTCTTTAGAGATTTATTTTTGAGTTCCGAAATAATTTAAATATAAAATTTCCTTGATTTACTTGCAAAGAACAGAAGGTCATTTTTTATATAGTTAAATTTAAATTCTGTTTTATTCCATATCTTATCAGTAAGTTTTTTGGTTCTTTTTTTTC